CCCCCTACCGACCCACCCCCGCTGCTCCCCAGCACCTCCTGGGGATCAGCACCCCCTACTCACGCTGCTCCCCGGCACCTCCCGGGGATCGCCGCCGTCTGTGGGGATCAGCGCCCCCTACCGACCCACCCACGCTGCTCCCTGGCACCTCCCGGGGATCGGCGCCGTCTGTGGGGAGAGCACCCCCTACCGACCCACCCACACTGCTCACCGGGACTCTGATTTTCCTTTGCATCTCACATTCAATATTGAACAGGGCAGGCCCGGCTTCGCTTGTGAACTATGTCCATTTCAGAAGGGCAAGAGGGTGGACTTCCCTGAATCTGAAGGCTCTTGGCCCTCATCAGTACGGGTACAAGAAACCCGTCTGGTCAATGAGGGGCATGCAGGATTCGAGCATCCATGGACACAGGTCCTCCCTTACCGAGCAGTGTCTGCATCGAAGGAAGACACAAGTGGGTTGAGGTGCCGGTAGCGGTTAATGAAGGAGTCCTTGTTGACCTCCCAGATCTCCCGGTAGACATCCCAGGTCTTCAGGTACGCCTGGAGGTGCGTGGCGTTTGCTTGCATGCCCCCACTGACCAGTGCCTGGATTTTCTTGATATCCTCATCACGCTCTGAGTGAGGAGGGAGGACAAACAGGACAGTGACCAGCTGTTTCGATGCCCAAACAGCCAGTCCTAGTCCATCAGAACCCCTTGCTTCTCTTCCATGCTGGTTCTGCCAAGCCTCACCAGCCCGCTGGGAAATACTGTCCCTGTGTTAGAAGGGGAGGAAACTGAGGCACAGAAATGACTTCTAGGGGATTGGGTGTGCGCAGGCAGGAACTCATTCCATGACAGATGTAGGCTATATTCAGGCTAAGCCAGCTACCAAGTGCCACGGAGAGAAAATAAATAAAAATAAAGTGTTAGCGGCAAGGAAACTGAGCTAAGGGAAAATGTCAGGCTGGGGAATCGTCTCCTCCGGGGATAGGGTGGGAGCCGATTCGTTGTGGTCTGAACACAGAGGGCATCGCTACACTGGCTTTTCAACCCCCCAGCGGTGAGTCTCAGAGCCCAGGTCTACCCGGGAAGTGCCTAACACGGGAACAAGACAGTGTGGATGCACAACTCGGCAAGGCAGCTGCAGACTCCCCCCAGGTAGCGCGTGAGAGCAGGGGGAGGTCTCCTTACCCACGAGGACCGAGATGGGATCGCGGTGGAATTTGCGTTTGGTCAGAATCTCCGGCAGGTGGCGGAAGACGGAGATGCTGGCGATGAGGTGGCTGCTGATGTCATTGACCATATTCGCGAGCTGGGCCAGAGTTGGGGAAAACTCCACCTGGAAACACAAAACAGCAGGTCCGGTGGAGAGAGGAACCCAACCCAGAAGAGGGGCAACGACTGCTCAGCGAACCCAAAGCGATCCACGGGGTGAGCGCTGGAAAATATATTCCATTCCCACATCTGCAAAAGCCCTTGCAGTGGCAGGCTGCAAGATCCCGGACCTGAAAATCCCGTCATTCTGATTTCCATCTTGCTTACCCACATTGCTCCCACACACAGCAGCTCACTGCTTGAGGAGTGCTAGAGGTTACAGGCCAAACCCCCCAGTCCGACAGCTATGCTTGGGGCAAGACCAGGGCAAAGGTGGCCCAAAGCCACCGTTATGGGTCTCTCGCTCGTGGGGCTGATCTGCACTGGCTCATACCTCCAACACAAGACTCAACAATCCTACAGTAGTGGTCAAAGGCACCACGGGCCCATACTGTCAGCCAGGAAGCGCTAGGCCAGGCCACAGGGATGATGGGGCCATGCTCCCTTGTCCCCTGGACACCCCCCATGCAGCAGAAGCCCTTAGGGTCTGTCTACACTGCAGTGGAGAGGTGTGACTGCAGCATGTGTAGACATACCTGAGCTAGCTTTGATCGTTCTAGCTAGCTCTGGTAACAGCAGTGAAGCTGTGACAGCACGGGCAGCTGTCGCCTGTGGATGTACCCAGGGTCCTGGGTGGGCGGGATTAGAGGGAGAAAGAAAAGCAAGAAGGTAATCCGACAGCCGGGATTTTAAGGTCAAGTATCTTGTGCCAGGACGAGGCTTGAAGTGAACGTGTTATCCTGGCACGACCGAGCAGCTGGGAATCCCAGCCTCCATTTCTGACCCTGATGGCATGTGTAATATTGGCTCTTCCCTCTCTCACCGGCCCTTGGTCGAGCGGTGCTTCTGCGGGGACACTAATTCAGGACTGAACTTCCCACCACCACCACCCCGACATGCTGCTAATTCTTGGCAGGGACCTTGGGGCGGGGCTCAGCTGGGTGTCTGAGGGCTGCAGTGGAAGGGCTCACCTGTGCAGATGGTGCCGGGTAGTTGTCCTGTAGGATCACCTTGACCCTGAACAGGGGGTTAGGCGTGGTCTTGCCATCTCCATTGATGGCCTTGGAGAGTTCCAGTAGGGACCATTTGACGTTGAGCCTGAAGGCCTCTTCCATCATTCTGTTCATCTTGACGGTGTAGGCCATCCAGTACTGCTGCACCTGAGGGGAGAAACAAGCCGGCTGAGAAAGGCAGCGAAGACAAGGAGGAGCCACCAGAGCGAGGGACAGCCAGGGTAAAAGACAGTCAGGGCTGCAGAACTGTGCTCCTGGCTCTGGCCACTGGCCCTTCTGGCTGCGAAGGTGACCTTCGCTGTGTGACCCAAGTAGCTCCTCGGTCTGTCCACCTTGAAGAGCTGTAACTATTTCACTGCCACTCATTGAGATAGAAGCAACCAGGGAATGTCCTACTCTGTTGTCGGAAGTAGTGCCAGATACCGGGGCACGGGGGCAGGGTAAAATGGAGCAGCTAGACGCTGGCACGATTTGCTGGGGGCAACTCAACCTCCTCCTCCCTAATCTAATGTCGCCTCATGCCATGCCCAGGGGGGCCCTATGCCCACAACTTGCTGCAGAAAGAAACTGAGGGCCATAGAATTTAAGCCGTAAGGGCCTGCTGTATATCACAGACCATTACATTTCACCCAGCACCCTTATACTGAGTTAGACTAAAGTACCTCAGTCTTCGTAAGACTAAACTTTTGGGTCCTACAGGGTGTGACGAAGTGGGAATGTTCTTAATGTTTTCTCTGAATACTGTGTGGGTGCCTCAGTTTCCCCTATGCAGTTCTTAAGTATCAAGGTGGTGGGATAAGGGGGGATGATTGTTGCAGAGCCCGAGAGGGCCAGTGCGATGGTGTCTGCACAGAGAATGGCCGACACCCTGTCTCCTGGCCACTGATGGCCTGGGCCCCTCCCCTGCAAGGTGCCAACCGAAGGTGTCGGAGAACAAAGAGATCAGGTGGCCTCCTGGCCTGGGAAAGAGACAAAGGCCAGAGGAGGGGCTGGAGAGTTTCAGTTTGGAGCTGGCTGGGGAAATGGAGGGAGCCCCAGGGCTGGGGTCTAAGCTCCCTGCCCCCCAAGATAGACCTGACTGAGGGGGTCTTGTTGTCTGTACCTACAAGCTCCATGTTGAACTGTGTTCCTGTCTTCTAATAAACGTTTTGTTTTACTGGCTGGCTGAGAGTCACGTCTGACTGTGGAGTTGGGGTGCAGGACCCTCTGGCTTCCCCAAGAGCCCCGCCTGTGCGGACTTGCTGCAGGAAGCGCACGGCGTGAAAGGGGAGGCTGGATGCTCTGAGGTCAGACCCAGGAAGGTGGAAGCTGTGGAAGCTTCTTGCCCTGGAGGGGGTGGTGCTGGAAGGAGGCAAGTGAATGGAGTCGGGTAGGTAGGTGGGTGGGCAGGGACAGACGTTGGAGAAGAGGGAGGTCTCTGCCACATTGTCCAGAACACAGGTCCTTACACAGAGATCTCTGGACAGAATCAAAATGAAGCACTGCATGCTGGGACCCGCGCCCAGAGCACTGCCTGCTGGGAGCTGCCTGGCCCGGGCCTGGCCTTACCTCGGCGCTATCGTGTTTGAAGACTTCATAGGTTTGCCGCATGATGTTGATGACCTCCTCGTGGATACCCATCAGCTTCTGCTGCACCCAGGCCCGGTGCTCCTTCTGGTCCTCCTCAAACTCCAAGTCGTTGTAGACCCGCTTGCCGGTGATCCGAACGAGCAGCGCCTCGCTGATCTGCTGGGCACTGCGAGCGACGGTCAGGGTGGCTGCCTTGTATTCGTTCACAATGGTCTGCACCTGAGGGCCAGGGGCAGCAAGGTGGGCTCAGGGCAGGGCGCACTCCGATCAGGCACCTTAGGGCCCCAGGGTTTGACGGAGGTGAAACCCGACCAGCTACACCGGGGGGGTGTCATCTGCCATGCTGGGTTCTCTGCTCCCTACCTCCACAGATGCGTATTAAGCAGTGAACACCCGTGTTCTGAGTTTCTCCCACTCCACCTAAGCCTAGGCAGACTGAGCAGAGTACGGATCAATGGAACGCCGGCAGCTGGAGACCCCTTAAGGATGGCGCTTTGGGGGCTGGCCGTGGGGGCAACGGAGGCCAGAGGAAAGCTCACCTTGCTGGCGTGCAGTCGGCACTCACTGATGAAGGCCGCGCTGGCCCCTTTCAGCGACCAGTGCAGCTTCTTCAAGCCGGGCTGGATCTTCTTGTCCAGGTATCGGATCCGCTCCTTGAACAAGGCCCTCTCCTCCGGGGACAGCATCGCAATGATCCTAACGAGGGCAGACGAGGAAGACTTCCAGCCCCATCAGCAATTCAGATCTATGTCATGCATTCCTCCCCCATCAGTCCACAGAACGGGCCTGGCTCCAGACGGGTGAGTCCCCAAGGCCCGATCTGTCTTTCCAATCACCTCCCAGACCGTGCCGGCTGCATCTTTGAGCTTGTTAACTTCCCGGCCTGGCTGGGTGACTTCCCCTCCCCCCTGGCCCCTGTGTCCCCATCTGTAAAATGGGCCTGCCCTCCTTTGGAAAGCACTTTGAGAGGTAGGGATTAATATTATTACAGATCGGCTGAAAGGAGGTTCCAACAGGGGTCATCGCTCTCCTCAGTCACTAGGGCCAGGCCGGGAAGTTAACAAGCTCAAAGATGCAGCCGGCACGGTCTGGGAGGGGATCGGAAAGTCAGATCGGGCCAGGCTGTGACCAGACCCCAGTCTGACCAGGACGGTTTTGGGGGGGGGGTGGAATTCCCCCACCCCCGTCCCAGCCCGGGAGGATGTGGATCACCCAGTTACATCTGTTCCAAGCCAGCTGAGCGCCACGAGTCAGCCTGACACAAACACTCCCGCTGTGGTCACATTAAAAATACACTTGCCAAAACGAACCTGTTTCAAGCAACACTTTCTCCGCAGAAAAACACCCCCACGTCACACTTTTAAAAATACCGGAGCCAAGCAAATTGAAACCCTCCCCCCACCCCCACCCCCCGACAGTTGAGTCATGAGACAACTCCGACGGATGGTGGTACCAGACCGGTAGTGGTGAAGCCTGACTCACGGTGCGTCCCCCATGCAACCTCCCCCCAAAACACACACACTCCCCCAACTGATGGGCCTCGGCTCTTCTCTGGAGGGACCCGCTCCAGCAGGGAGAGGGAGTTCTGGCTGCCAACGCGGGGGCCAATCAGGGTCAATTCTCCTGGTGGGGTTTGTGATGGGGACATCTGTTCTGCTAAGAACTGGATTCAGATCCCATCCCCCTACAATCCATTTACACGGGGGCCACCAAATGGGAATGACTTTCAGTCACTGCTGAAATAGAGAGACTAGAGCAGAGGCCTGGGGGGCCACATCGGGTTTCCGAAATTGTATGGAGGGCCGGTTAGGGGAGGCTGTGCCCGGCCCTCGCCCCCTATCCGACCCCCCCCGCTTCTCGCCCCGACAGCCCCCCTGGGACTCCTGTCCCATCCAACCCCCCCGGGACCCCTGTCCCATCCAACCACCCCTTCGCCCTGACTGCCCCTGGAACCCCTGCTCCTGACTGCCCCCCACCACCCCATCCAACCCCCCCCCTTCCTGACTGCCCCCCTGGATTCCTGGCCCATCCAACCACCCCTTCTCCCTGACCGCCCCTGGAACCCCTGCCCCTGACTGCCCCCCGCCGCCCCTTCCAACCCCCCACTTCCTGACTGCCCCCCCGGGACTTCTGCCCCCATTCAACCCCCCTGTTTCCCACCCTCTGACCGCCCTGACCCCTATCCACACCCCTGACCCCTGTCCACCACCCCGAACTCCCCTGCCTCTATCCAACCCCCCTGTTCCCCACCCTCTGACCGCCCCGACCCCTATCGACACCCCCGCCCCCGTCCACCACCCCAAACTCCCCTGCCTCTATCCAACCCCCCACCCTGCTCCCTGCCCCCTTACCGCGCTGCCTGGAGCTCCGGTGGCTGGCGGCACTACAGCCGCGCTGCCCAGAGCACCAGGACAGGCAGCCGTGCCACCCGGCTGAAGCCAGCCCCACCACCGCGCAGCACAGAGCACCGGGTCAGGCCGCAGCTCTGCAGCTGCGCTGCCCGGCAAGAGCTCGCCTCCCCGCCGCCCAGAGCCTTACACCGGCAGGGGAGGGGCCGAGCCTCCTGGGCCAGGAGCTCAGGGGCCGGGCAGGAGGGTCCTGCGGACCAGATGTGGCCCACAGGCCGTAGTCTGGAAATCAGGCTTCTCTCTGCTCACTGATGCCTAGAACAACAGGTAAGCGACAGACTCTGTGTCCCACTCCCAGCCATCTGCTGAACAGCACGGCCAATGCCATACAGAGCTCAGGCCCTGCCTAGGAAAGCCGAGAGGGGGCCGACCAGCAGCGGCAGGGCAGGGATGGCAAACCTGTTATAGTCCCGGGCAACCAGGAGCAGGTTCTCGCGGAGGTTGCGCAGATCCTCCTTCCGGTCGTAAACTTCCACCACGTAGTGGGGGATCTCAAAGAGCAGTCGCTCCCAGTAATGGATTTCCACAAATAATTTCAGCAAGTCCCTGCGAAAGGAAGCAGAGGCAGTTGCGAAAGACCTGTCTCACCCAGCGCCAGCCTGAGCCTGCCCCGCCCGGTCCCGCTTACTTGTCAAAATTAATGTCCAGCATGCCGCTCTTCTCGGCGCTGGGGATCAGGAGCGGGGTGTCCAGGCGTTTCAGGCTGTCTTTGTCCAGGGTCTGCGCCCACTCCTGGAAGGTCTTCCTCTCAATCTCGTCCATGGCCTGGACAAGCAGCTGGTAGGCCTGAAAGCTCTCCTCCCCGGTCCCAATGTGGGGCAAGAAGTGGGCATTGGAAAGACACTGCAAGGCAGACGGAGAACTCCAGCCAGTGTTTCTACTTACACTGGGGAGGAACTGGGGGGAGCAGATTTTGCACAGGCGGGACAGAGGACGTTAGCTAGGAAGAGGGTTCATGGGGGCAGGGACTGCACCTCGATCCTGACTCCTCCCCCAGCTATTCCAGTCCTGAAATCCACTCAGCTCTGCTGATGTCCTTCATTCCTGACACACAATCCCCCCAGCTATTGCAACTCTGGACTACACACACACAGACGCACACACCTACCTCTGCTGATGCCCCTCAGTCCCCACTCACAGCCCCTTGCTGTCCCAGCCCTGCACTCCCCAAACACTGCTAGGTCATTAGCTGATTGCTTGGGGAACAAGTGAAATCCGAAGATAAAATTCTCACTGGACGTTCAGCTCTTGCCAACCAGCGCGCACACACGGAGCCGCTCAGTCATGCGATAAAACAAACGGCGTTAGGGCAACCAAGAGCCATTGACGAGCAAGTGACAAGGCTGCTTCGAGCCTCCCGGTGTAGGGTTCTGCAACACTGTGCTGCTGGAGGTGCCCTCTTTCAGCCCACCCCTCTCACCCTGCTTGTTCCCCTCTCCATCCCTGGACTCTCAAGGGGTAAAAGACAGTTACTCACCTTTGTAACTGTTGTTCTTTGAGATGTGTTGCTCATATCCACTCCAGGGGCGCCTCAGCCGACCCACCGAGTGTTGCTAGGGTAAAAAATCTTCCGACAATCATGCACGCAGCACGCGTACACCTAATTGGAATCGATATGAGCAAGCACTCGAAGAAGAACAGAAGAAACTGAGGAAGGCGGAGGCTGCATGACCCCTATATAACTACAGCCCCAACTGGGATGCCCCAAGAAAGCGTTCTTGAGGCCCCAGCCGGGCTCCACTCGCTGGCGAGTTCCAACACTGTGCAGAACCCAGCACAAAAGCGGGAATATGCAGAGGGCACTGGGTAGAAAAGTGGTGTCCTGGCCAACTTGGGTGACTCCTTCAGCCGGCCACGGGCTTCTCCTTTGCATCCTGTTTTAAACTGCTGAGCAGCAACACTGTTAAACAGCAGCTGTGTCCCACACCAGAGGCAGCTGCATTTCAGTGCTGGGTTAGTGACACTGGCGTGTGACTGGCAAACTCCTGCAAGGCTCCACCCCAAGGGAAGCTGCCTTTCCATGGCATGTTAAGCGATCGTTATAGCTTGTAAAGCGCTTTGAGATCCTTCCCGATGAGAAATAGGAGCAGGAGGTATTTCTGCGTTCCAACAAGAGCTATGTTCCGGGACTGATGCAGCCCACGACTGTATGACTAACACCTCATGCAGCGCAGAGAAACAGGAGCCACAGGGTGTTTGCCAGACACAGGAGAGGTGAGCCCCACAACGCCGAGCCCTGCGCTGGGCAGGTAGGAAAGGCAGAGGTGATTTTCAGACCTAGATTTGGCAGTTTCAAGCCTGCACGTCCTGGAGGGTTTGTGACTGATGCTGGAAATGCTGTTCTGTTGTTACACAACGTATAATTAAACCTGTCAAAGGAACTCACTGACATAGACTGTTATTGAGGCAAATAGTCAAAAACAGATGAGGTAGTTAGATGAATAAAAACAACATCTGCCATGACAATTGCTCGGGCAGAAATTCCAAGTCTTCAAGATACAGGGAAGAAGGGGGTCCCCGGCTGAGCGACAGGATGGCTTCAGCCATACATACACTCCACCAAGCAACATCTGATAGTGCTGGCCTGAAACGGGGTGGCATGTTACACCTGGAAGCAGTAGGTGTTGGTGTCTAACTGGGTTTTCAGTCCTGCCCTCTCTCTCTGACGGGCAGACTTTGGGGTGTCTCTCCAGTCTCTCGGCACTGCCCCATAATCAGCTGCAAACAGGCCCCCAAGGAGAGCTCTGTCCCATTCACCAGAGGTAGAAAGGGCCCCTGACGTGGGGGCATGAGACAGGGAGAGATGGACGCTGGAACAGGGGTCTTGCCACGGACGTGGGATCCTCACCTTTAGGGGTCTGTCGATGCGCCGGCGCAGAGCCCGCAGCCAGTGCGCCAGGCCTGAATAATGGCACATGTGCGGCGGCAGGAACGGCAGCTTCTTGCTCAGCTCCTTGTTGACCAGGGAGAGCTCTCGGTTGAACAGCATGTAGACGTCCACGGCTTTCTTGTCAAAGGTGCGCTTGATGGCCTGGGGGAGGGAAGAGGAGAGCGGAGCCCCACAGGGGTGTGAGGCGCTGGGCCAAAGCCACTAGCCCACGCAATGCAGCAGCTGCACCAGCAACCCATCCCCATCTAGGGGCTGGTCCCCCCAACTTCCCTGGAAGATGCACTCATTGTCATAACCTGTCAATACCCCCGTACTCCCCAGCTAACCAGTCTGGGAGCAGCCCTCCCACAGCTCACAACAAGCCTGCACCCCCTGACGGCCATGTCTGAGAACTGCCCCCACTCAGAACCACCTGGTCCAGAGGCTGTTCCCCACGGACACCCCAATCTCCCCTATTCCAGGAGCTTCCAAACTTCCCAGCTAGCCGGTCAATAGCTGGCTAGGAGTTTGGCATCTGTGTGTGGAAAGGTTACTCGTCTTCGGGACACAGTGCTCTGCCAGGGTCCTGGCACCGGCCCCGTACCTCTCGTGCGGAGAGATGGTGGAAGATGTCCTGGATCTCCACGCCATGCTCCACGTCCCGCACCGTCTCGAAGGCCGAGGTGATCAGGTTTTGGGTCATCACCTCCAGGTCTTTGACGCCAGAGCGGAACCTAGCATGTCAGGGCGGCGGGAAGGGAAACAGCAAACAGAGGACACAAATTCACCCCCACCTTGCTGGGACAACACCCCCACCCCCCCCAACAGGCCGTGTCTCCACTTTTCCCCGCATGCCTACCACTCACAGTCTCGCCCCCTGCAATGTATCGCCCCCACCCAGGAGTCGACTCCCTGTCCCCCTGTCCACTCATCCACCATCCCTTGCTCTGTGACAGCGGATCCGTCTGTAACCTCCTGCCCTCTCGACCTGACGATACGGAGGGAGTGCCTCTGTGACACAGAGCTGACTCCGTTCTTCCACTGCTGGCCATGGGGGTAGGAAATGGGGCCAATCCGTCCCTGCCAGCTCAGGCCCCTGCCAATGCTCTTAGTCCAGGCCTGACCCATGCAGTCTCAGCACACTGGGCTGACCCCCATGCCCACTGCGAGAGCTGCCAGAGGGGGAAGACTCTGCCACCGGGGCCTGCGAGCCAAGGGCCCCCTCTCACCGGTTAAAATCCTCGTGCCAGAACGTGTTCTTCACGTCTAGGATCCCCCCCTTCATGTTCCGCAGGGTGTGCAGGTGCTTCTGAAAGGTCTCCTCTATTTCCAGCAGGTTCCGGGTCATCTGGGGACCCCGGTGCCCAAAGAAACAGGGCAGTGGGGTCTGCTTCCCGTCCTCCCAGCGGGCGAAGTGCTGCTGGCAGTCGCAAACCTGTTGGCAAGTGCACCGCCGTGTTATCGGGTTTGCCTTCCCATTGCTCGGCATGAATCCCACCCTCACCCCCATTGACCGGCTGCGGACACATTTCTAGGCTGTGGGAGCACCTAGTGGCTGCTGGGAGATGTAGTTCAACCCCATCCCATCTTGGCAGGGCAGCCACCCACCCCTCATGTTATTATCTTTATCTATATAATAAGACTCCAGGGTTGTCACCCGTCTGTGTGTCACTCTGGAGCCTTGAATGTCTGTTGAGTCAGTGAGGAGGGATGGAAACACCTACAAACATGCTTGGGAGCTCTTGCTGTTCAGAATATCACCAGGTTCAACCATCACTGGGGTTTGCCGTCTGCTACCGCCCAATTTTTAAGGTCCCAGCTATTCTGACTTTACGAATTACACCCGTGCAAAGCAAGGCATGTATCTGCCATGCCCAGAGTCTGTGATATCAACCAAACATCTGTCAGGGAAGGTCTAGGGTGCAGAGGTGGCCCTTGAGTGCAGGGAACCGGACTGGAGGACCTCTCCAGGTCCCTTCCAGTCCTACGGGTCTATGATTCAACCACCACCCTTACTTTACAGCTAATTTGCATGCAACAATTTAATTGGCTGTATGAGACACATAGTGGATTCCTTGGCCCAACTGCCACACCCAAGTGACAGCCCGGGCTTTCAGCTACTCATTTATCATAGAATATCAGGGTTGGAAGGGACCTCAGGAGGTCATCTAGTCCAACCCCCTGCTCACAGCAGGGCCAATCCCCAGACAGATTTTTGCCCCAAATCCCTAAATGGCCCCCTCAAGGACTGAACTCACAACCCTGGGTTTAGCAGGCCAATGCTCAAACCACTGCACCTAGGAGCTCCGGGCACATCCTAGGACCCCACTGTGCTTAGGTGCTCTGCAGCCAAGAACAAAAAAGACAGTCCCTCTCCCAAAGATCTTACAATGTAAAGCCACAGGTAAAGTCTACACTAGGAAATTAGGTCACTAGGACAACTCAGAGGTGTGAAAAATCCACACCTCTGAGCACCGGAATTAAACCGGCCTAACCCCAGTGTAGACAGAATTCTCCCTTCAAGCTAGCTACCCTCTCTCGGTGAGGGGGAGCGTCTGCGCCGACTGGAGAACCCTTCCCACCAGCGTAGGTAGCGTCTTCACCGAAGTACCGCTGCAGAGTTTGAAGTGTAGCCAAGCGCTGGGGCTGCCTGAGTCTGCAGACCAAGCGGGCGCCAGGACCACATGCACGATGTGCTGCTGTTGCATGCGCTGCGGGGAAGGAGCGTCTGCCCCAGTTGCCCACACATCCCCACCAGAATGGGGCACTGTCGTGAAAGCTACCTGGAGTGGCAGGGACGACCAGACACTCTGAAAACTCCAGCTGATGCAGAAGGCTGCGTTCCCACCATCACCCAGGGCTGGCTACCTCTTTGGTGAGGCTCCCCACTGTGACATAGGGCTGGGTACCTCCCGCGCAGCTCCTCACATCACGCTCTTGTGCTTTCGGTGTGGGGAGCATTTGATGCCAGACTGATCACTACACAGCACCTGCTACTTGTCTCAGGCACGGTATGAACCGCTGAGCGCCAAACCGCTCTGTCATGGAAACAGATGGATTTGTCCTGCTGCACCTGAGAGCAGCCGTTGGCTCCAAGTAAATGAAACACCAGTAATTGTCAGGCTGAGATGCAGCCTCCTCTCACGACGACGGCAGGGGGCCAATGCTGCAGGGAGATTATCATCCCAGGCCACGTCCCTAGTCCTGTCACCGCAAGGGGGGAACCACGTGCCGCTGCCACGTACCTCCAGGAGGTCTTTGCAGCGCTGAACGAAGGCGTCCACTTGAGCGAAGATGCTCGTCTGGTCCAGGACCCAGCCTTTCCCGGAAAGCCTGTTAGAAGTGCGGAAGGAGAAAAGGTTTGTCATGCCCCACGGCCGCCTCAGAGGCAGGCACCGAGATGGGGAGTAGATTCTCCTGGGTGGGCATGTTAGCTCCATCGCTTCTCATAGGCAGCAGCAGGTCTATCGTCCAGGGCCCTGCAGAAAAGGCAGAGCCGCGCCCTGGGGACAGAAGGCAGTGCCCTGCTGGCACAAGGGATAGGAATGTCACCCAAGCATAGGCGCCGACTCCATGGGTGCTCCGGGGCTGGAGCACTCATGGAAAAAAATTGGTGGGTGCTCAGCACCCACCGGCAGCTCCCCGCCCCGCCCCCCCTGCTCCAGCTTACCTCTGCCTCCTCCACGAGCGTGCCGCCGCGTCCTGCTTCTCCCCCCTCCCTCCCAGCACTTGTGCCGCGAAACAGCTAATTCGCGGGGCGGGGAGGAGGGAGAACGCGGCGCGCTGGGGGAAGAGGCGGGGCTGGGGCAGGGGTTTGGGGGAGGGATCCAATAGGGGTAGGGAGCGGGCGGAGTTAGGGCAGGGACTTTGGAGATGGGGGCGGGGCCAGGGGCGCTGGGAAAGGGGCGGGGGCACCTACTGGCGCTGGAGAAAGTTGGCGCCTATACACCCAAGAGTTTCCTCGCCCTCAGACCTCAGGCTCTGGGGTCTGGGATGTGACTCCCAGGATTTTGCAAACGGGGGGGGGAGGGATAGCTCAGTGGTATGAGCACTGGCCTGCTAAACCCAAGGTGCTGAGTTCCATCCTTGAGGGGGCCCATTTGGGGATTGGTCCTGCTTTGAGCAGGGGGTTGGACTAGATACCTCCTGAGGTCCCGTCCAACCCTGATCGTCTATGAAATGCATGCTATTTGAATTGAGAATCCGCCCCCAAAGGGCACATCAAGCCTGCAGACCCTCTCAAGAGCGCCCCAGGAAAGAATGGGAGAGCTCACAGCCTTTGAGGTGCCCCAGAATCTCTTCCCACTGACAGGGCTGTAGGAAACCCCCGGGGCCTTATCCTACCCAGGAGCTCTGGGGAGATCACAGACCCTGAGAGCAAAGCTTGAGTACCTAATCCCCACTCAGCTGTATTTGCCTGGCTTGCGCGCTAATGTCTTTGTCTTATAAAATATTGATCCAGCCCGACAAAGCTGAACCTGAAGCCGACAAGTAACACTTAGGCTTAATTGTCAAGGACCAGGCGCCCACTTAAACATCCCTAACCATAATGATAGATTCTGGTTTCTACAGCTCAGGAGAAGCAGGGAAGGAAGACTAGAGCCAGTCAGAAGAGGCTGGGGACTGGGACACGGGGCCTTTCCCATCCAGCTCACTGGTTCCACTCATCCCCATCTCCCAGCCACCGAGCGGATTTCAGTTTGTCCCTAGTGGGCTGCACGTTTCTGGCCCACCTTTTGGCAGTCTGGGCAAGGTCCCAAGAACTGAACAGGCCACCCAGACTGACAGCAGGGCTGCAGCGGGGAGGGGGAAGACAATACCCAGGTGGTCCCCACTCTGGGGACATCCAGAGGAGTCGCTAATCTGGGCTCTTTCACGCATTCCCTTTACATCCTTCCGCTGGTTCTGCAGGGCGCAGGCTGTCCCGCTGCCCACCTGTTGTGCATCTGAGCTGCGTACAGGTAACAATCCTTCCAGGCGTTCATACACGAGATACAGTCGTGGAGCGACTGTCTGCTGGATACCACGTAACCCTCAAAAATCCGGTCCAGGGAAATGTCTTGGCAACACATCAGGATAATTTTGTTGCTCATCTAAGGAGAAATGATTCAAGGGTCAGCACAGCTCTGCCTGGGACTCTTAAAGTAAACAAAGACTCTTCCTGGGCAATCAATCTTAGCAATAACGAGTCCAGCTCTCCATGAAGTTCAATGGCAACACACATCAGAGTGACGGGAAGAAATGATTTGGGGCAGAGGATAATTAACCTGAGGAACTCGCTGCCACTAGATATAACTGAGGCAGGGAGCTTGGTAAAGTTCAAAGCCAGAGGAGACTAAGAATAGTCCCTAGGTGGGCTCCATCGCATCCCTGCTCTAACCAAGTAGACCCCACTCTCCTCCCAGAGCCGGGGAGAGAACCCAGGAGTCCTGACTCCCAGCCCCCCCTGCTCTAACCACTAGCCCCCACTCCCCTTCCCTCCCAGAGCCAGAGAGAGAACCCAGTAGTCCTGACTCCCAGCCCCCTGATCTAACCACTAGCCCCCATTCCCCTCCCACAGCCAGAGATAAGACCCAGGAGTCCTGGCTCCCAGCCCCCTGCTCTAACCACTAGCCCCCACTCCCCTCCCAGAGCCAGAGAGAGAACCCAGGAGTCCTGACTCCCAGCCCCCCGCATCTAACCACTAGCCCCCACTCCCCTCCCACAGCCAGAGATAAAACCCAGGAGTCCTGGCTCCCAGCCTCTGCTCTAACCACTAG